CCGCGACTTCGTCAGCGTGGTTTTTAACTTTATTTTTCTAAAATTAAAGTAGCCTATGTTACTCCTTATTACATCAGATAATTGCCAAAAAAAGTCCCGTCAAAATCGGTCCAGCCATTTCTGAGATAAGCCGGAACAAACAGATAGACAAAAATTATAAAAAATGTTATTTTGGTATATGTACCGTATTTATATATTCATACGCATGTAGTAAAAAACGGTTATTTCAATATTACAAACACACACTCCAATTTTATTTATATGTATAGATATGAACACCCATGCGAAACCGGGACGGATAGCTAGTGTATTATAGAAATATAAACAGTTTTTTGTAGTTCCTTGACAATATGGTTTATGAACAATCGATAATATGCAGTTTTATTTTGTTGGCTACACATCTATCGTGAGGTTATTTACCTGTCGCATACGTAGGTAAAAAAACATGGGTTTTTCATATTTTAAGATAAATATGAATTTAAAAATATGTTTACTTTTATAAAAAAAAACCGTATAGCTTCGCGGTGGGTAATGAATTGTTAAAAATATATTAAATGAAATTAGTACCTAGCTGTTGTTCACAAGTTAGAGCAACAAATACATAGAAAATTAAGTACATTTTCGATTAATCTTGATAAAATTAATTTATAAATTTATGTATAATAATTAATGAAACAAATAAAAAGTTTCTTTTTTAATATTTTAATTTTACAATACTTAGTACAAAGAGATGTTAATTAATCAGATAATAATAATAAAAAAAAAACAAAGCATAGATGATAATAAAACAGAGAATAATTATCCTTTTCTCCATATTACTAATCATATTTTGTTCTATGACTTTCATAGTAAAAGCAACGGAGATTTCCTACCAATGTCAGGGTTAGAATTCTGTCAGTAATCAATTATGTCTAACTGGTTGACACTGGCTGACATTGACATTGCCTGCAGAAAAGTTGTTGACATTAAATAAACTATAGAGGACATGTAACAGCGAACGTTATTCGCTGTTTTATGTAAATGGAAGCTGACGGTCCACCTGATGATCGCCTATATACATGAACAACCTACATCATGTTATCATACGATACCTGATGGTAAGTGGTAACCGTCGCTTACATGAATAGCACTACAGACACCACTTTATCGTGTGACGCTCGCGAGATCCATGCGTAGTAATTCCGGAGAACTAAGATGTCAGATCTCGTAACTAGTAACTACATTTCCTTTTATCACGATATAAGAAAAACGAAAAACGACTTAGAAGCCCCCTCTGATCGATCCCCCTTCTATTTCAAGTGGAGATAGAAATTACGACAGCCTGAGCTGAGATTCAAACTCCTAGCGGTGTCTTCAGACTAAAGTCGTATACGTCAGGCAGGAGCTTACCTGAGCGGCTTTGGAGTGTTCTGTGAAACTGTAAAGATCAGCTGCAACAGCATTAACATAGCTCCAAAAAAAAAATTACAGCTTACACAACAAAGCTGCTGAAATTGACCGAAGGGAACGCAGCTTACATTTTACGTAGTCCTCCAATACCTTCAGACAGAAGTTATATCCCTCAGACATGATTTCGCGCATTTTCGTCAAATGAAGCGAGTCATCATTAAAATATTTGGATAAAGAAATCAAGCTTAGAGTTGACCATTTTCATTTCTGTACTGAAGTGTCTTTACCAAAGGATTTTATTCTAACCTCGACGATAGTGGTCGGATATCGGGTTTAGTCGACAGTAACATAATATCGGAATGATATAAAAATTACTGTTAACGTCCCCGCACAATAGTAGCAAGGTCATAATTATCATGATAATCAAGACATAATTGAAGGTCGACAGAGACTCGAGAACTGGCCCTTTATAGAACAAGATCTATCGACAAATGAGGAAAAACAACAGACACGAAGATAGCCAACTCAAGTACAGTTACCTCTTATATAGGTCATAATGGCAACAACGGTTAAAATATAGATAGAATTTAACATAATTTTTATTATATAGCATTAGAAGAGGCTAACAAATTAAAATTTATAAACACTACACTATTAGAAAGGGTACATATAATATAATACGTAGGAATACGTAGAAATACATATAGTATGATACATATAATACGTACGAACAAAAAAAAATTAACAAAAGTGTTAAATATGAATGTGAATGATTATAAGGGCAGAGGTAAACCTTAACAGATTTGGATGGTAAATGATATGGCAAGAAAGGTAGTGAAAATTATATTATTGCGAAAAGAAATGAAAGTATTGTATTATTAAAGAAAACATGTTACGCCGACCTTAAATGATATAGAATAAAGATAGGAAAATTATGATCTAAGAATTACCATTTATTTGAGAATCAGTAAACAAGTATTCATATATAAATTGTAAAGATTAATCCATCAAAGTAATTTAAAAAATAATACCGGCCATAAGTCAACTGTCTAAATTACATTCTTTTATACCATGTATTGTTTTGAGTTTATGACTATCTAAATTTGTTTTTTTACTATCCTAACACATATTTCAATTCTAAATGAATACAAATTAATAATCGATCAATAACTAACTCCAAACTATAGATAACAGACCCGCTACTGCTCTCGTGCCAATTTAGAAAAACCAAAATCAAGAAAAATTTAAGTATAAACATTTTGTGGTGTCTCTTACTTTTACAATTGTATACATGTCGTGACGTTTCGTAGCGTTTATTATTCGTTATTATTATCATTTACTTTACAAGCTTATCTCTAGACTGGTAATTAGACTTGACAAGCATTGCAAAAGTATATGTTCATAATTTACATTTCGTGTGTACGTATAGTATATATATATAAGAAAACAGAGCAATGGAAAGAGAAGAAAAATTAAGTACAAAAGAGCCATAATGTTTAGTTTTAACTACAAGACAACTTTTAAAGATCTAGAAAGGAGATATGGGAGGAAAATGCGGTTAAAAGAAAATCAAAACTACTTATCAATGTCATACAGGGAAGTAAAGGAAAATTGTACATAAATAAGTTGAACAATTCAAGAGGAAACTCTTAAATATTAAAAAGTGATGTGTTTGATGGAAATGAAGCACTTTATGTGGACGATGCAGTTTCATAATATTATTGTTCTCTAAACGGTTTAAACAAACAAATGGCTACTTGAAAGCAGTTTTGCCCATCTTGGGAAGCCATTATAAACTGCAATAGTAGAATTTTAAAGAGGTATACACTACCGCATGCCGGTTATGGCTGGCCTTTCGAAATAGATGGAGCCGGTTTTTAGATTATAGTAATGTTTCGATTTGATGTATAAATAAAATCACTTGTCTCTCCCGCAAAGCAGCTGTGTATCGGATCATTTAGTAATGACTACGAAGCTATATTTGCATAGGTGTGTTTTGATTTGAAGAATGGAATATCGTAGTGAAATACTGTACTGCGCACTGAGATATAACACTTGTGTGTTATTTACGAATGAAAATATAACAATGCGCTTTATTTTAGAAATTTATTTGTTATTCGTTCTATAGACTTCTATCTTATTAAATATACTATTTATAGTTAGGTTATTTCAAGTTGGTTCAAATTTTCACTTTAATCATAGGAAATGAAAGTGTACATATCAATTATAATCCCAAATTATAAAACTGACTTTAAAATGGTATAACTGAAACTATATTTTTATTGTCCCATATTATTTTTTGTCGAACGTTTAATTACAAACTACAATAAAAATGTGGCATGGAACAGCGGCCATTATCGCTGACTTCCATGCAAGTTGCGACACATAAACTACGGTTTCCGGAATTGCGATCAACACTTCAATCTGAATGAATTTCAATTCAATCCACGTTTCGAATTTTATGTAATTTGTCTATCAAATAATAATAATAATCACTTCAATCTGAATGAAAAGCTTGTGTTATTCAACAACTTCAATACATAGATATATTTTTTTTTCGTAAATACATACATATTATACATAATTTCATCTATGTTTGTGCCGTGCGAGTTATTCTAGAATATAATCTATATAGGGTAAATAAGTTATTAATGTTTTATGATAGGCAATGTTTTTTTTATATTTTTCTTTTTATTAACAGACGAGACTCTGTCAGGTATAATCTTAAATAGTATGAGAAACGAGTATTATTGTTTTAGGAGCTTTGGCGATGAAAAATAGTATACTTAAAAATAATTTGTTTACTTTTATTTATATATATATTTTCCTATTTGTACTTATAATATCTTGCCTAGTAAACAAACGTTTTGATATAACTGCTCATTTCTATATACAATATACATATAATATATGTATATTTCATTGTCACGTAGATACATTCATTGTATGTTAATGTTTATGGATATAATAAACTAAGTTGACCATAAGCGAAGTAATTTCATAGCTTGGTTAATTATTATTTTCTCATAAAGTAAGCGTTCAGTTAAGTAATTATTTAATCTATATTATAATTATTTTGCATACCCATTTAATGATCACCCGTGAGTTTAAAAGCGGGTTCGAATTTTAATTTTAATTTAATGTTTCAAGATTGCATACGTATAACAATTTTGTGGAAACACGTTGCCAACTCAAAACTAATTATTATACGAGGTTATACGATTAATTGTTACCTAATTGTTTATATTTTTATTTTAATTTTAAATTCGTTTTATTTGTCTTGTCTTTCATTTCTTCATTCAGGTTTTATTATTATAATCTAACACGTATTATTCGTTAGAGATTACATAGAACAAATTCCATTCAATAAAATAATTAATAATAACATATAGCTTATTCTTCACACAAAAAAGGACTTCTTTTTAGTAGAAATCCTTAAATTACCACAAGTAGATTGTTCAGTCATATTTTTCAACATATACGGACATTTAGTTATTTGGTAGTTGTAGTTTTTGCATAAAACCATACAAAATCACAAACAAAATTTTACGCATCGACGATAACGAACCGCGAAAACTTAATAATTGTACTAAGTTAAAACAATTACTCACCGAATATGGATGACAAATCCTTTATCTTAAATTCTTTAAAAATTAATAATAAACACGACACGAAAATAACAAATTCCCACTATTTGAACTGGCGCAGAGCGGCCGTCTGTACCGTCCGCCGTTTGATCGCGGACTGACCGGGCCGGGCGAGGGAAAACGTTCGTTCAGTAACTTTTTTCTCTAGTCAACGATGGCCGTGCAAATTGACGCCAGATTTTATTTTTAATTTCTGTCAAAGTGCGTGAACCGACTCGATAAACACACGTGATGGGCGCAGGTTTGTTGTTACGTTTTGTTTCTGAGCTTTTCGTCTAATTCTAGCAATTTACATAGAGTAGTGTAGTTGAATAGTAGCGTTCACAACGGAAGTCTAGCAACGTCTGCGTTAACTATCAATTTTCGAAATTCGAAAACAATTGTAACTTTATCTGCTTCTAGAAATTTACGTAGAGTAATATATCTAACTAAATATCATCAGTCTTCTTCTAGAAATCTACTTTAACTGTCATATTTTGAAAATCGAAAATAATATATCTAACTAAAATATATCATTAAATATCATCAGTCTTCTTTCTCGAAGTCTAGCAACATCTACGTTAACTGTCATATTTCGAATTTCGAATATAATTGAAAATTTATCTGCTTCTAGAAAATTACATAGAGCAGTGTGTCTACTTAAACATGAATGAAGTTTTCTTTCTTGGTCTGGCTAAGTCTACGATAACTCTCATTTTTTCAATTCAAAAGCAATTGAATATTTAACTATTTAACAAACAAACAAACATAGAATTCTATTTCGCTCCTATTGGACGTAGTTTGATAAAGTCTTATTGCCTTCTTATCGAGGAAAGCTATGCAATACATATTTTTGAAAATCGAATCGGCAGTACCAGAGATTTTCAAAATCGGATCACAAAGTTTACATCTTTATAATACCCCTCGATCGATCCCCCTCCAATTCAAGAGATTAGCGCGTTCGAACAAACAAACTCTTCAGCTTTATAATATGATGATGATGATGTTGATGATGAGTATAGATAGGCCGCCAGCAAGCAGTCCTGTCAAAGAGGCCGCAACAATATTAGTATAAACTAGCTGTACACGCGGACTCCGTCCGCGTGGAATTTAACATAATTTTTCTAAATAAAAGTAGCCTAAGTTACTCCTTATTATATTAGCTACCTGCCAAAAAAAAGTCCCGTCAAATTCGGTCCAGCCATTTCAGAGATTAGCCGGAACAAACAGACAGATAGACAAAAATTGTATAAAATGTTATTTTGGTGTATGTACCGTATTTATATTCATATGCATGTAGTAAAACGGTTATTTCAATATTACAAACAGAAACTCCAATTTTATTTATATGTATAGATTACTTCTTTGTTTTAGAAAATTGATAGATAATACACACGTTGCGAGACTTCTGGAATGAACGTTCTGAAGCTTGTGTATAACCGGTTAGTGTTTACGATAATTGATAATGTAACAAGGAAGTAGTGAGTACATTTATTTTATTGACGTTTTTAGTGTGTAATCAAACCGCTTAGAAATAATAACACCCTTTTCGGGATACATTTAGCCATGCCTACATAAATCATCCTGTATTCTGTGGCAGAAAAATGTTTTTTTTTTTAGAAATATAAAAAATCTTTATTCAAATAAACTTAATATAAGCACTTGAATAGTCAAGTTTTTTTTTATTCTATCGCTTATTCGGAATGCAGATTCATCGCAAGAAGAATAAGCAAGAAACTTGTGTGTTGCTCTTTTAAATAAATATTGATTTACTTTATATTTATATTTAATTAACAACAAGGATTAGGCATACGACAATCAACATAGAAACCGTTACGCACTTAATCTCTGTTCAATCAAATAACAATGTCAGCGCTATAAATTTTAAGTTAGATATTTTCTACAAAAACATTATTATCATTTATAAATGCTTCAATTTTATAATAAGCTTTTTTACAAAGAAAATATTTTATGACACATTTGAATTTTTTTTTTCTGGCATTTTTGCCAGCAATTAACTATTGACTTAATATAAGCACTTTTAAATAGTCACATTTTTTACATATTCCGGTACAGGCAAGTTAATGAATAGAGATTCTACATCAAAACTCGTCATTATATCACTTTCTTCTAATTTTATGTGCTCCAGGATTTGGACATTTCGTCAAATTTTTTATTCTACCACTTATTCCGAAGACTCGACACAATGAATGAGCAAGAAACTTGTGTGTTGCTCTTATGTAATTGGAACGGTAATAAGTTTACGGCCCACCTGATGGTAAGTGCTAGACGTCGCCTATGTATATGAACATGTTATCACGTCATGATCTGATGATGACCGTGCTCAAGCGTTGGGAAACCAAAGGACTAAGATGTCATGCCTCATGAAGCTGCATTTTTTATGGATGATAATGGAATGGTGCATCTGCCTGAGAGAACCGGATAATTCCGAAATTTAACCGAAGTAAAATTCTGCCGCCAAATAGCTCAGACAACTTTATGCCTTTGATACAATTTTAAACATGTTGAAAAATCATGAAGTTCAGAAGTTACTACTGATTTTTAGAATGTGAATTGCCACCATCGTTGAATAAAAAGTGGAGGTAGTATGTCCCGTGATATCTTCGGACCCATGTTACTCTTGCTCTGTTGGTAACACATTAAATTTCTTATGGTCGTAATAGATTTTTTGTGAAATATAATAATTTCGATTATAGCGGAATTCGTCGGCTCATAAAATTATTACAGAAAAACAAGCATGGAAGAGTACAAATGTTCTAACCTTTAGATACAAAAAAAGTATATTAATTTCTTGCATAATAATATATCGTGGAAAAAGTCATGATATTCAGGTTTATTACTGACTTCTAGTCATTAAAAGTCGTCGGTTTGCATCTGATCGATGCAAAAAAGGATTGGTTAATTTTAATTTGTCCCCCAAATTCAGAACTCTTCTGTTCTGGATGCCTACACTATGTATAAAGCCTTCACTACCTAATCTCACCCTATAAGCAAAGCACGAAAATTGTAATAATATAAAAACAGTACAAACACCAAAATATAAATTTAAAAAAACGTTATTTACAATTTTTGTCTGTCTGTCTGTTTGTTCCGGCTAATCTCTGAAATGGCTGGACCGATTTTGACGAAAACTTTTTTTGGCAGATCACTGTTTTTTTTTGGCAGATCATAGTTAAATTCCACGCGGACGAAGTCGCGTGTACAGCTAGTATATAATAGTCTCGTGTCACAGTATTTGTAACAAAACTCCTCAGAAACGGTTTAATCAATTCTTATGTTTTTTTTAGTATATTTGTAGGTCTAAGAATAAGACGTAAACTATTTTTTATACCCCTCAATGATAGGGTGAACCAACCTTTTATGTATTTCTGATTCGATTTAATAAAATACGTACATAACATACGTATACGTACCCTAAATTTTCACCCTTTTACCACCAACCCCTATTTTTTAGCGATATTAATTTATATGGCAAAACAACGTTTCCCAATCACTAGTATATAATATTGATTTATTTTACTAAAGGTAGACTGTAAAAAGTCGTTTGCGTGGGTACCACAGTCTCACCTATTTGGCCGTATGCTTATTGATCACCATCGTGGTATAAAAAAAGTTGTGTTACCACATACACACCCATAAATATTTTAATAGTGACGATATTAATTAAAAATAGTCAACTTAAACAGAGACAGCCGCTTAAAATGTACGAACAAACAAACACTTGTACAAACACTTCCTTTGCCTCTTTTCTATACGGTTTAATTATTGTTTGGTTACGTGTTACGACTGTACTGTAGTGCTGTACAAATGTAATTGTTTCCGTGTCTTCCACCTTTTAATTTTAAAGTCAGACAGAAAAACAAACGTCTTAACATTTTTTTAATAGATGACAATGATAGCGTTTTCTCTAACGTTATAACATTCTTTAGATTCACCGTACGGGTACGGGGCCATCCTTTGCCAGAGGGAAACCGCGAGCTGTTCCCGGAACTTGTACCCGGGTGTAGGTTTAAACTCCTCTGTCGACATATGTCAACACTCACCTTAGCCGTTGGTGTAGCTCTCTCTACCCGGCCAAATCTGGTGCAGCTTTTTTTTTAGTGGATGATAATGGAATGATGCACCCGTCTGCGCTAACGGTATACGCTGGCAGGGCACCAGTGGAGGATGATAAGATGAACATGAAGTCAGATCAGTTGGCCCATCGTGATGAGTTCGCCGGGAATTTATCACGATGGTTTCCATGGGGAACCGCGTGGAGGTCAACCTGACATGGTACATTGTTAGCAATGGGATCATCAGTCTACATTGCTAACAATGCCCTTCCCTCGAAACCATCGTGATAATGTCTCGGTGAATTTGTCGCGAGGGCTAACTGATCTGACCCCATGCTCATCTTATCATCCTACACTGGTGCTCCGCCAACGTAAACCGTTAGCGCAGGTGGGTGCACCATTCCATTATCATCCATAAAAAAACATGATATCCATAGTGCTGTTTATGTATATATGCGACAATTTACCATCAGATTTCTATCACTTACCATCATTCATTTATTTTACAGTTATGTAATAATAATAGTTGAATAAGTGAATTTATCGCGGTTCATTTTTGGGCTGAGAAAGTATGACCACGTCTCTAAATTTCGGTCACAACTTAAATGGTTGTCAATTCGTAACCGCAGAAACTTGCGTATCCTTTCCACACTCTTCTCCATCATATTCGATTCTTCCTCTCCCACTTATTTGAAAGATAGATTTCAGTTCATTAGCGACTCTCATTCACGTAAACTCGTTCACATAACCTCCTTCTCTCTAGGTCATACAAGCTTTATGTCAAACTCCTTCACAGTTACGGCAATTAACCTCTGGAATATAATGCCATTATCATCCATAAAAAAAACTATTTAATATCCAAAATGAGTGCTGTTTATTGTATATATTTAGCGTATTTATGTATTTATTCATAATTTATATATTTCAATATATATATATATGTATATTTATATATATTATATTTATATAACATAAATTATATATGTACCATCATATATATCATCTATTTTACAGGTTATGTAGATATA